GAATATAATCTACTGATCTATTTGGAATTTATGCTCTATTAATTTCTTGTAGTTTGGAGGCACATGGGATGACTTGTTGCCTAACTATATAATATACTGAGTCATAGCACAGTTCTGTCAAATTTCTAAGTCATAATTTATTTCAAAGTATATTGCATGGGCCAAAAAGTTTGTTTGGATTTTTCCATAAGATGTAATAGAAGAACCTGAATGAACTTTTTGCCAACCCAATACTTTCCAGGTATCTGAGGTTCATAGCTAGTATCAGTAACATACAGTCCCTGTGTGTATTCAAGGCAGATGATGAAGCAATCATTGATTTATCATCTGGCAAGTCACAATCTAGTAGTTGATGCCAGGGCAATAAAAATACATTTGTGCTAGATAGTCATACACTTCTGTACCTTCTATGAGCTGAGTGGAATATGGAATATTCATCACTCTCTAGTTTTTAAGCAAATCTCGTGTTAGATTCTATGTCCCTTGGAAGTTCAAACTATGTTGGGTGGCCCCTCTTATTTTTCATGGACTTTGGAAATAACCTGTTTTGAAAGAAGGGTCAGTAATGTGACCAGGGATGATACAGAGAGTGTGTTATAGTGTTACTAGGTGTAGACATGAATTCTCGCTCCACCACTGTTTAAGTGATTGGATTGTTTTTAAGTTACCAAAACCCATTATGTCATTAGGAAAATAGAGATAATAAAATAATACCTATGTCTCTGGGTTGTTCTAAGGATTTTTTATATACACACAACACATACAAAGGCATACCCACATACAGATCTAGATATATAGTGCACGTAATATATAATCTGTGGGAATGAGAAAAAGAGAGCCTTGTATGTGTCTGCCCTTATAAAGTGCTCAGGAGAGTGTCTTTTGTCTTCTCTGGCATCATATGTTCTTACTTCTCTCCTTACTTCCTGAGCTGCCTGTCTTACCACAGCCTTGCCTCTTTGTGGGACTGACTTTTCAGCTGCACTTTTTCTTTATTTATACTTGGTCTTCCCTGGTGGCTCAGATGGTAAAGTGTCTGCTTACAATGTGGGAGACCCGGGTTCAATTCCTGGGTTGGGAAGATCCCCTGGAGAAGGAAATGGCAACCCTCTCCAGTACTCTTACCTGGGAAATCCCATGGATGGGGGAGCCTGGTGGGCTACAGTCCATGGGGTCACAAAAAGTCGGACAAGATTGAGTGACTTCACTTTCACTTTCACACTTGCTCTTCAGGTAATATTATTCATTCCAAAGGATTTATATATTGGCCACCCTCAATTTACATCTTTAACCCAAGATACTTCTCTTGGTCCAGCCTTACATATCTACTTTCTTCTTTGACAGCTATACCTGGGTGCTTCCGAAGCATCTCAAATTAACATGTTCAAAAGAAAAATCATTGTTTTCCTTGGCTTTCATCTGTTTCTGTTCCATTCAATCCTATCTTTCTTAATAGTATCCCAAATATGCCAGTTTTATAGACTCAAAACCTGGGAGTAGACCCTAATTCCCCTCTACCTTACCCAGATCCAATCCATCTGCAAATCCAGTTAATTCTACTTGCAAAAGGTATCTGATTGTGTCCACTTTTCTCCATATCCATTGTCACCAGTCACAGCCAAAGCATTATCATCTCTTACCAAGAGTATCATGTCTCCTTATCAAGCCCACTATCCAGAACAATGTGGAGAATGAAATGGCACCCCACTCCAGCAGTCTTGCCTGGAAAATCCTGTCTGGATGGAGGAGCCTGGTGGGCTGCAGTCCATGGGGTCACTAAGAGTCGGACACGACTGAGCGACTTCACTTTCACTTTTCACTTTCACACACTGGATAAGGAAATGGCAGCCCACTCCAGTGTTCTTGCCTGGAGAATCCCAGGGACAGGGGAGCCTGGTGGGCTGCCATCTTTGGGGTTGCACAGTTGGAGATGACTGAAGTGACTCAGCAGCAGCAGCAGCAGCATCCAGAATAATGAGCAGCCCCGACAGTCTTTTCTAAGACTTCGTTGTGCTGGTCCATTCGTGGGCACCTCCTCAATGGCTTTCTGTTACACTTATGCTCCAAATTCCTTTTAAGAGCCTACCAGACCCTACATGGTCTGGCCCCTTCTTATCTTTCCAATCTCATCTTGTACCACAGTTGTACTCACGCTTTATGTTCTAGCCACGCTTTTCACCTGACTGACTTAGTTTCATTCTTCATTTTATTGTTTGCATTCATCAGGTTCCAGCTAAAGTCAGGTTTTAGTATCCTCATCTATAATCTCCATGTGTGGTAAGCATGTACACCCTTGAATATCTACACCTTGAATATGTACACCTAAGAATATCTCTCTCAAATATTTGATTCCCAGGAGAGAGTCATATCATGGGCCATAAATATATGTTCACTGAGTTAATGAATAAATGCCTGGTGTAGGATGAGTGCTCGAAGAAAGATGATAAGGGTAATCATCAGTGTACTTCACTGTACTTTGTTATATTAGTCTCTCCCATGCCATAGTTAATAGATATTCATTGAATGAGTTAAATAATTCAGCCTATCATAAGAAGATTTTATATATATACATGTATATTCTCAGTACCTGGGGCTGGCTGGAAATAACTAATGAATACATGAGACTGGTATTTTAAATTCGTCAGTTTGATGGGCCTCTTCCAGTCTCACATCACTTTGATGTTCTTACATAATAAAAATGAGTCTTGTTTCCTTACTAGATTTGCTCACTAACATTCTGGATTTAATGAGAGATGGTGATTGCTTTTACTTCAGATTTTTTCTGTCTGCAGTAGAATTCACATGACCAGGAGAATAAGCATTGGCCCCCAAGTCTTTGCTAAGTAAAGTGAAGGGAAAGCTTGAGAATATTCAGATAATTTCCCAGTGACAAAATGTCTTTGCTTCCTTCTCCCTTGCCAACTTCCATACCAAAGCTGATTTTTCCCCTAAATATTGCTAAAAATCTAGTTGTTCTGGAACATCTAGCTATTTTGATGAGAGGTTTGTGTGTGTGTTTGGCAATATATAGAGGAAGCTTTCTCTGTTGCCATAGGAGCCAGTGAAAGGAAATGGTGAAAATGAAGGTGAGAGTGATTAGAAATATGATTCAGGTTATATTCATTTTGTGTCTGGATTAGAATTTTTGCAGATCTGATGACTTTTGAAAACCATTAGTATTCTTGAAGAAGCATCATAATTACATAAATTCCTGAAGCAACATCACCTGTCTTTGAAAAGTGATGATTGGGAGTTAGTCACTTTAAAACAATTTGAGATCCTTGGCTGGAGGAGTGGATATCTTACAGAATAAGTCTCTTAAACAATCCTTTAAATAAACCAAATCACCAATCTGTCCGTTCTTTTTTTACAAATCATGCTAGAATTTGCTGTAGGCAACTTGGGACAATTTTTTCTTCTTCCCAGGAGTTTAAACTGAATTAGATGACTATATTCATAGCTGTCTTAAGTTTTGACTTGGAAGTGTAGTTCTACGTACTCCTCCTTTCAGCCCTTTGACTCTTCATGATGTGGAAATTTTTCCTGAATCAGGAGTAAAGAATTGATTACTGTCAATTTTATTACAAGACTTTGTAATTACTTTGAAGACTCTGGAGAACTGAGTGGGTTGCCAGAGAATTTTCTGTCCTCACCACCTAGCCACTGAATGCCCTTGGAAATTTAATAATAGAAAAAAAAATCTCTTGAATTTATATAGCCTTTTTCAATATATAAAACATTTGCATAGCTGGTATCTTATATCAGTTCCCTTAAGGGCAGCGTACCACATATTATCCCCCTTTTTCAGATGACAAAATTCTTGTGCTGAGAGGTTAAAACAATTTAGTAACAGTTCTTAGTAGCAGAACTGGAATTTGAATATTATTTTCTGCCAAAGTTGGTACCCATTTCACTATGCTTATGTACTTGGGGTTGATTTACTTTATAAATCTTCCAAACCTCTTCCTTCTATCCTACAGTTCATTTAACATGCAAATATCAATCTGGCCTCATTTGTTATTTTCTGTATTATATGGAAACTAAACTTAATACTTTCTTGTTGGGAACATTATTCAACTTGCTTTATATTGCATTTGAAAGGGAGGATGTAGGCTTTTTTTGAAGTAACTTTTTTTAACTTGCATACTCAATACGTGTTCAATGCTGGAAATTTGGAAGGAAACAACATTTCTAAAATGCAAAAAAATCCCATTTTTTATTGAATATCACCAGTGTCTAACATTTTGGGATTTTTTGGGGGGAAGATTTTTGTTCATGACATACTTCTTATTTTAGGATGCATTCTGTTGCCTCTGTGTCATAATATAGGTTGACCTCCCACACATAATTTTTGGTTTTGTGTCCTCCATATAGGGATTCTGTGGTGGCTCAGATGGTAAAGAACTTGCTTGTAATGCAGGTGACTCAGGTTTGATCCTTGGGTCACGCAGATCCCCTGGAGAAGGAAATGGCAACCCACTCCAGAATTCTTGCCTGGAGAATTCCATGGACACAAGAGCCTGGCGGGTTACAGTCCATGGGGTCGAAGAGAGTTGAACACAACTGAGCAACTTATTCCATACAAACAAACAAACAAAAATTAACCTAAGCAATGTAGGATCAAGATACTTAAAGAAGCTGCTTTTATTGAATCATGAAATCATAAAGGAGACAATAAAAAGATTTTGGGATTCTTTTTTTCAAGTTACATCATAAGCACTCTCTCCGCGACCATAAACAGAACTTCCCAAACTGGTTATACTTCTGTTGTTAAATCCCCTTTCTGTTTACTTTTGCAGGTGTTGAAGATCATGATCACCTGGATGCATCTAACCACATGGTCCCTGGAGACATGATGGTCTTTTAGCTAGCGCATCTAAAGTACTGGCTGACGTTTGGGGTTGCCACTCACCATCCGACATCGTTGGATTCCATCTGTCAGAACCCTCCTAGATTTTCCCCACCATGCTGTCTTTATTAGCTTGAACCCCTTCCCTAAAATGGTCCTTCTGTTGATCCTGTCAGTCCTGCTTTTGAAAGAAAATGTCCGTGGGAGCGCACAGTCCAGCGAGCGGAGGGTGGTGGCGCACATGCCGGGCGACATCATCATCGGGGCTCTGTTTTCCGTCCACCACCAGCCCACGGTGGACAAGGTTCACGAGCGCAAGTGCGGGGCGGTGCGGGAGCAGTACGGCATCCAGCGGGTGGAGGCCATGCTGCACACCCTGGAGCGGATCAACTCGGACCCCACGCTGCTGCCCAACATCACGCTGGGCTGCGAGATCCGGGACTCCTGCTGGCACTCGGCCGTGGCCCTGGAGCAGAGCATCGAGTTCATAAGGGACTCACTCATCTCCTCGGAGGAGGAGGAAGGCCTGGTGCGCTGCGTGGACGGCGCCTCGTCATCCTTCCGCTCCAAGAAGCCCATCGTGGGCGTCATCGGGCCAGGCTCCAGTTCGGTGGCCATTCAGGTCCAGAACCTGCTCCAGCTTTTCAACATACCTCAAATCGCCTACTCGGCCACAAGCATGGATCTGAGCGACAAAACTCTGTTCAAGTACTTCATGAGGGTCGTGCCTTCCGATGCCCAGCAGGCACGCGCCATGGTGGACATCGTGAAGAGGTACAACTGGACCTACGTGTCGGCTGTGCACACAGAAGGTGAGTCTCTGTCACGCTGACATGTATCTGCCCTCTAGCTTCCTAGTTAACATTTCGAGGTTCCGAGGGCTGAAACTGTCCTAATCATTTGAGATTCTTTGGGTGTCTCGGTTATACCAGTTATATAAGAAGGGACAGGATAGCAGATGTCTGGAGCAACATAGATTTAAGCTAAGGTGATTGGATATGTGGCCATTAGTTGGCAAAATGTATATATATACACACATATATATGTATATACATATATATATACATGTATGTATACATATATAGGTATATATATATGTGTGTATATATATATATATATATATATTTGGCTTACTATTACATTATTTGTACCTCTTCTATAATGATGCTAGGGACTTTTAAGTTCTAAATCTGCTCTGAACTCCTGACATTTCTAACAGTTGCTCTGAGTGCCCTCTGAGAGGCTCTGAGTTAAAGGGAGGTACACTTAAGTACACATCAGGCCTCAAGGCAGCCAGATCTGGCCCAGGTATGTTGTAAGAGAAAATGACCAAACAGTTTACTCTAACAACTATCTTTCAATAGTGTGTCTGGTTAAATCTGAAATGGAGAGGTGTATGAGTGAGTTCTATCCTTGTACGAGACGTTCTCTGGAAGTGCAAGTTTTAATAATTTAATATTAGTTGGCTTTGAAATTTATTGCTGCTTTATGCTGAAAGCATCATGAGGGAGGAAAATATGACTGAGGTAATATTAGACAGATAATTTTATTTTATTAACCAGATAATATTAGCCTTATTTATTGTTGATAGTCCTTTTAAAGTTCTTTTGTATAATTTATTAATTCTCACCAAGACTGTTTGAACAATAGGTTTGATTGGACCTACAGAGGTTAAGACACCCAAATCGTGAAGTTTGCTCATTATGCAACACTCTTTCTAAGAAAGCATGCTGCCTATGCTAAACCCTGAGGTATACCAAAGAAGATGCACAATACTTTGTTAGGATTAGCTGAGATTTAAAAATTCTGCAATAACACTGTCAGTATGTTCCAAACAATCTCGTCTTGTAAACTGTGAGATTAAGTTATTAGGAAATTAATGAAATGGCCAGAATAAGACTACTTCATAGGTTGGGAGCCAGTCACCAGTTAGATTTAGCAAACCTTTCAAGTGGCATAATATGGATTGCACTGTGTGGCCACTCGATAATGTTCAGAGTTGCACAAACATAAAACAATAAGCTTCTGCACTGGATTAAGACTTCTTTGCCTCTGGAAATTTTCATACATAATTTTTAGATTACTTACAGAGATGTTGATGTATAGAAGTTTTGCACAACGGCTAGGTGATTGGACTAGGAGACCTTTGAAATTTCTTTCCCATAATGCCGAGATTTTTCCTACATAAACACTATTTCATTTGATTCTCACATCAAGCAGTGATACAGACAATCCAGATATTTTGTTTCTACTTTAAAATACAAGTGTTTCAAGAATTTAAATAATTCATCCAGCAAATATGTGATAGCAACTTCAGAGGCAGAAGCGGGCTCATAGCTACAAATTTCTAACTCAGTAACCTGTTAGAATTTAGTAGAATCCAATAGAAATACACCCACAGGATATATTTATGCAGCACATATTTATTAAGTCCCAATATGCAAACAATGCACTAATATTCTGTGAAGGATGGCAGTGTGTTTCATGCATTACTGCCCTCAGTGGGCATGTAATCTGGCAAAGGAGGTGGAGCTTGCACTAATACTTACATAACCATAATCCAGGATGACCAGAGTTACAAATGTTTCTGAAGTAAATTGAAGTAGAAAAAAAAAATCACATGTTGTTCCATGGTGATCGAGGCCAGGGTGGAGATCTTAGAGAAGAAAATGAATTTGATAGTGAAATTTTAACTGGATGAATACTGACAGTTGGTGAAAATTAAGAAGGCATGGGTTTTCAGTAAAGGACATGAGAAAATATAAGAAGATGAGACAGTGTCTTCTGTCTAGCTTCAGAAGAGTTGGTTGGTCTATGGGAGATACTAATCCAAGATTGTATTCAAACAGAAACGAGTTATCATGGATTCTTACTAATTTAACTTTTTTTTAACCTAAGTGTACACCGGTAGTGAATGATATAATAAATTATAATATGTCCACATAATATATTATTACATGGCTATTAAAATACGTGAGGCACTTTATAGATAATGAGGTCATAATGATCTCCACAATCATTTTAAATGAAAAAAACATGGCATAGTTGTATATAAACGATGGGTTATTTGTATAAAATGGAGTTTATAAATGCCATATGATTGAATATTCATAGAATTCTTCTCAAGAGAAGAGCAAAACTGAAAACAGTTGTTCCTTCTGGGGAGAGATTCTAAGGAGTTAAGGAATAGGGTGGAAGGGAAGACTTTCTTTTCTTATATAATATCTATATGCAAACATTTGAAGTTGTGTGTTACAAGCATAGGCTACCTATTGCGACTTAATAATAGAAAATATTCTCTTTGTGGACAAAAAAAGGAATAAAAATTTGATTGCCAAATTTAGGCAAATTTGATTATTTTTTTAAAAATAAGCCAATAAAAATTTTGTTGACAAATTTGGGCAAAATATTTGGAAGATACCACTGGGATACAAACATTAAAGACTGGAAGAAATGCTCTTTGGTTTGTTGTTTTATGTGGTTAATCAAGAGGTATTTATATTGCTTGGCTCCTCAGCAAGTAAGTGGCTAGTGAAGTTGCATGTCTTAAATGTATTAAAATGTATTAGCATAGGGGCAGTATAGTAGGAAGTTTTATAAAGTAAAACTTACCTCCAGGGTCAGAAAAGTGCTTGAGTATCACAAAATACAACTCTGTTGGGTACCCTGGAAGTCCTCAAAGGGATGCCTGGCTTTCTGTTGCCTGGCACTTCAGGAAGCCCCTAGGGGATTTTCCATGAAATGACAACACCAGGTCTTACTTGAACCTTTTTCTTGGCTGGTTTAGGGCAGTTCTCTCTAGCTGTAGGTCATCCTACCCCAGTATCTCAAACTTATTCCCATGTCCAAATAATTATCTTCTTTCACTCAGTAGATGCTCCTCCTTCTTGAAGAGTATGGAAATTTCCAAATGCTTTTACACATAAGACATTGAGGTCTTTAACAGATGTCTTATTTTTGAAACATCCTTTGTCCCCCCATGTTGCCTGTTCACTTTATACTTAAATGTGGCAGTACTTGGTCACTCGGTCCTCTGGGCGGCTATCACAAGATCTTCCTTGGAGAATGCATGTGGTATCGCTGAATTTCAGAGGAGAGCACAGGAGGCTTGGATTTCAGCTTCAAGGTTAATCTCCTACACTTGCATTTCATTGATTTACAGTTTCTGTAGGTTGTGCTAAGTCGCTTCAGTCTTGTCCGACTCTGCGACCCCACGGACCATAACCTGTCAGGCTCCTCTGTCCGTGGGATTCTCCAGGCAAGCCTACTGGAGTGGGTTGCCATTCCCTTCTCCATTTGTAGGTTACAGGATGGTATATTTACTGTGGTTTGTTATATTATGCAGAAATACTGCCTAGGCCTTCACGGCAAAGAGATTAAATGTATGAAAAAAAAAAAAGGAAAAAATATTTTTAAAGACAGACCACTCTAGCTCTTCAGCTGTGTGGAGGAAAGGAATGTGCAGTGACTGAGAAGAAAAAAATTGTATTGCTTGTACAGGAGTCAGTCCCGTAGCCACTGTCTCTGCTATAAGAAGGTCTAAAGGGCCCTTTGCTGCCATACATTTGGAAACCTTTGTACATGAGTCCATTGACAGAATGAGTGGGGCTTCCTATGTAGAAGTGGGGCAGGTCAATTGTTTTGGCTCTGATGACTTCCACTGATGATTTCTTTGCTTTGTAATTTGAGAGTTCCCTTCCACTGTCTTTGGACACTAGCCATGTGACTGCTTTGGTCAATAGAACGTGGTGGGAATGAGTCCCTTCTTTCTAGTCTGTCTGTCCTGGAACCCTGTCTTCAGCTTGTAAAGGATGAGAGCTGCTCGGTTTTCCAGATGAGGCCACCTTAGATCACTTGACCTCAGCCTTGTGAGAGCACCCAGTCAAGAGTCACACAGTTGCTCTCCTGACCCACAGTCAATTTCAGCCACCTAGTAGATCCTAACCGAAACTATAAACATTACCTACCTAACCATAAATTCTTTATTTGTTGTTCAGTCACTGAATCATGTCCAACTCTTTGAGACCCTATGAACTGCAGCATGCCAGGCTTCCCTGTCCTTTACTGTCTCCTGGAGTTTGCTCAAATTCATGTCCATTGAGTCAGTGATGCTATCTAACCATCTCATCCTCTGTTGTCCCCTTCTCCTCTTGCCCTCAGTCTTTCCTAGCATCAGGGTCTTTTCAAATGAGCTGGCTCTTTGCATCAGGTGGCCACAGTATAGAGGCTTTAGCATCAGTCCTTCCAATGAACATTCAGGCTTGATTTCTTTTAGGATTGACTGGTTGGATCTCCTTGCAGTCCAAGGGAATTTCAAGAGCCTTCTCCAATACCACAGTTTGAAAGCATCCATTTTTCAGCACTCAGCTTTCTTTATAGTCCAGCTCTCACATCTGTGAATGACTGCTGGAAAAACCATAGCTTTGACTATACAAACCTTTGTCAACAAAGTGATGTCTCTGCTTTTCAATATGCTGTCTAGGTTTGTCATAAATTTTCTTTCAAGAAGCAAGCTTCTTTTAATTTTTGTAGCTGCAGTCACCATCGACAGTGATTTTTGGAGCCCAAGAAAATAAAGTCTGTCACTGTTTCCACTCCCTGCCCCCATCTATTTGCCATGAAGTGATGGGACCAGATGCCATGACCTTGGTTTTTTGAGTGTTGAGTTTTAAGCTGGGTATTTCACTCTCCTTTTTCACCTTCATCAAGAGGCTCTTTAGGTTCCTCTTAACTTTCTGCCATTAGGGTGATGGTATCTGCATATCTGAGGTTGTTGATATTTCTCCCAGCAATCTTAATTCCAGTTTGTGAG